ACTTGGTTAGTAGATGGAACTTACTACCCATGCAAAAACAGATGCTCTCCTATGGGGTTACTCTCTCAGCAGAATGAGTTTGTGTACTGTGTAGTCAATGACTAAGCCAGTAGATTCTTTACATTTTATGGCTGGCTGAAAACTTCATAGGCTGACCAAAATATTCTCATGGAATTTGACCAAATGTGTTTTATTCTTCAACAAAGTCACCCTTGCAATTCACATACTTCTTCCATTGGTGTTGTAGTGCTTGAATTTCATTTGTGAAGAAGCTTTCATCCTGACATCAACATATGACATCATCATCATCATCATCACTGTGATATTGTGTTTATTTTTTTTCATGTTTGGGAACAGATGATAGTTAGATGGGACCAAATCAGGAGAATAGGGAGGTTGATCAACCAGTTCAAAAAATCAGTCATGCATAGCAGAAAGCAATGTGCTGGAGCATTGTCCTGATGAAACAAAACCCAGTTTTTCTAGGTGTTTGATCTTCAGAAAGTTGGCATAAGACTCTCCATTATGAAATGGACAAAGACCAACAATTATTTTAAGACATTTTTATGTTTTATCTATAAAAAGAATGTATAAACATAAAAATGTCTTAAAATAATTGTCAGACTTTGTCCATTTCATAGTGTGTGACGTCATTTGTTTATATTTGGATACACTTTGAGCAGATATGAATGTATGCGAGAGATTCATGGAAGATTGAAGTTTAAAGGCAGTAAATTCGAACTCACTAACCAAACGCTCCTCTGTGGCCAAATCGGTTAAAGTCACCGCAGGCTATATGACAGTTCCGTATAGGATACAGGTTCGATTTCTGTTGGAGGATGAATATTTTCTGTGAAAATTTCTTGGACATTCAGTCCGGTAAATGTTGTTTAATACTGTTTATTATAAACGGAGCATTTACTTAAATATTTGTATCTTATAAAAAACAATGTATAAACATAAAAAATGTCTTAAAATAAAACTCTCCAATGATGGTGTGGCCCTTTTGAACATTGTCAAAAAACACATTGTCTTCTGCATCCCAAAAAACTGAGTCTATCAACTTACTTGCAGATGAAAAGACCTTGGTCTTGGCAGATGAGGAGGGGTGTTTTCAATGCATGGATTGTCATTTTGCCTCAGGTGCAAAGTGAAAAACCCAACACTCATCCTGGTTTAGGAAATGTCTAAGAAACATCTACCTCAAACAATGTCAAGTTTTCCAATAGTGTACTCATTTTGTTCAGGTATCAGAAGACATGACACCCACCAAGCAGAAATCTTTGTTTGAAAACAACACAAAAATAAAAATACTAGAATTTTCCTTTCTCCTCCTTATTTCATTTTCTGGTGAAGCTTAAATAAACATGTTAAATTTAGAATCATTTCTTATTTGTTACCTTATCCTATCCTATAGGCCACCTATGAAGGAGTGATGCTAGAACTGTGAAATCTTACATGCATTAATCTCAACTCTTCTTATTAATAACCATATTGCTTCTTTCTATGTAATCTGATATCTGTTCAAAGAAGACTGTTCATCTGTCGGTCAATATCAGCTGATATGAAGTCATAATCATTGCAATACTGGTACCCTGCCATGTCTTTTTTCATGTTGGGGAACAGATGATAGTCACATCAGGAGAATATCGAAGGTGATCAACCAGTTCAAAGTGAAAGTCACGCAGAGCAACCATTAAACCAGGAGCTGTGTGCTGGAGCATTGTCTTGATGAAACAAGAACCCTGTCGTTCTTCTTACTGTGCGTTTGGTTTTGATAGTCTTTAGTAACTGCCTCAGTAAGTTGACAAAGTACTCTCCATTGATAGTGTGATCCTTTTTCAAAAAACTGAGGTTATCATCTCTGGAGATTAAACAACCATTGCCTTCTTTAGAGCAGTTGAGCGGGTGTTTCACTGGCTCAAAGTGATGGACCCAACAATCATCCCGGCTTAGGAAACATCCAAGGAAACCAGGTGTCAGAAGAAGTGGCATCCACCAAGCAGAAATCTTTGTCATGCCAAATTCATTTTGCAGAATATTCTCAAATCTCTCACGGGATATGCTGATAGTACTTGCTATTTGATATACAGTAAATTAACTGTCATCCATCACCATTTGGTGAACATGATCAATGTTTTTCCGCGGTGGTCGCAGTGGCAGGGAGTCCAGACCTCAGATCATCTTCAAGACTCTCCTTTCCCCTTTTAAATACTGCTGCCCACTTTTGCACCAATGATAAAACTTGAGCGTCAATTCCTAATGAAGCAAGCATATAAGTTACTTTTGAAGTCTTCTTTGAACAGTCGGGTGTTAGTTTACCTGGAAATAAAAAATGCAGTTATTAATAAGAAGCGTTAAAATTAATGCATGCAAGATTTCACTCCTTCATAAACTGCCTCTGTACTTTTCAACCAACATCTGTGTGTTTTATATATATATATATATATATATATATGAAGAGAGAGAGATGAAAGCGAGAGAGATAATGTGATAAACATATAGTTTTAAAGTTTTAAGTTATTGTATTGTGCTCAATATCAGGTATAGAGCGTATGTAAATATAATAGTTGACATTGTAGTGCGACAGTTTGATTAATGCTTATATATATATATATATATATATATAGATATTGAAGTTAAACCCAGCAGTGACAGTCTGTTTAATGTTTAAATGTAATCTTTAGGCCATGATGGACTGAAGATTGCATTTAAGCCTGAAGCCGACTGTCGCTGCTGGGTTTGACTTCAATATCCACCTTATATATATATATATATATATATATATATAAAATATCACTTTTGAAGTTTTCTTTGAACACTCAGTTGTCAGTTTGCCTGGAAAGAAACAATGCAGTTATTAATAAGAAGAGTTGAAATGAATGCATGCAATATTTCACAGCTCTAGCATCACTCCTTCATAGTCAGCCTATGAACCTTTCAGCCCACCATGGTACCTGGAAAGAACCAATGCAGTTATTAATAAGAAGATTTTAAATTAATGAATGCAAGATTTCATGCCACCAGCATAACTCCTTCATGAACAGTAGATTATAAATATGTAAGATAGATTTGGGTGAGAAAAGATACCTAGAACAACATACTGAACCAACTTTCTTGGCATCAGTTCTAAGAATTGACAATATAATCTTTGCATTTCATGTCAGGGAAAACTTTAGCCTTAGAAGGTGTGATGAATAACTTTCACCATGCTATACAATGATGTCAACCATAGTTAAAATAGAATACCTTTCTCTAAGGTATTTCTTTTGAGCAGAAAGATCCAAGGTTTAACAATTTTATATTGATCTTTTAGAGAACTTCATTTAGAATTTATATCTGAAAATGTCATTCATTTGTAATATATTGATGGATTAGTATTTCGAAATTGCTAAGTTACATGCCAGAATGTGTATGAACTGTGGATGTTGTCTGAATTTTTTTGTTACTCTTCCTAAGTACTTCAAGAATTCCATTTTCTATACTATAAACCATTTTAGTCATTTCAATGTTAAAAAAATGGTCAAAAGTTTTTCCTTTCCCAGCTTGGTGATGTTTCTTGTTTTAAAAAGTGATCAATAGAATTGTAATAAAATGTAAACAGATGATGAAAGTGAATTTATACGTTTTTTTTTTGTTTTTGAGAATTTACAACAAACATATTAAACATTATTTATGTATTACATTGTTTATTTGCAAGAATAAATTTCTGTTTACATTCTAAAAGCTAAAACAATTAAAACTAATGCAATACAATATTTATCATTTCCCAATTTATAAAGAAATAAATATTTTATTCATAAATTTATAAACATTTACTAAATTATCTAAATACATGAACCAACCATAAAGAAATCCTTAATATTTACCATTTTATAAAGTTGAATTGATTGGCAATTAGTTAATGTTTTGGCAACCATTCCAACAAACAATCTAATAAACAGTGTTTATTATTTTTGTTGTCAATTTAGGTTTTATTAAAATTCTAATCATTGTTTTTAAAACAAAAACCATTGACAAGGGAGAGAAGGTAGTTAAAATATTAGCAGCATCAAGGGAAAAACCATCCTTTTGGCACAGGTTTTTTTGCAGGTGTTGACAGTAGATTCATATAAACATTGATCTTTTTTTCATTAATTTTTTTCTTTGGTACAAAAAATAAGGTATTTTTCTTTAAGCAAATAAATGTTTTGGTTAACTATTAAAAATCAGGTAAATATGATAAGAATTTGTTTAGAGAAGGTTGAATATTGAGTGACGGTGAAAATTACAAATCTTTTGAGAGAGGAAAATAAGAGCTTTCAGTACACAGTGTAACTGATCAGAATACATACTGTAAAAAAATGTCCTTAATCTTAATTTCAAGGCCCTCATATTTAGAAACTTTTGTTGGAGGACAAAGTGCAAAATGCTTTCCAAAAACTTTAAATATTGCGACCAGTACGTACTTGATTTTAAGTTTTGTCTGCAGTTCTGTGTGAAATCTCTTAGAATCTATTTTTCAGCTATGCTAAAATGGAAAATCTTAATTCCTTCTGTTGTATTGACTTTTTTTCCCTGAGGCATTCCTGTTGGTGTACAAGACACACGAGAATTAGAAAATAATGTTTTCTATTTTTTTGTGATGTTTGATATTTTACTTAACAGAAATGCTGTATGTCTCTGCACGTGTTCATAAATATTTGATATGTAGACATATACACATTATTGATACAATTTTCTGCACAATGGGCGATTGAAAAATCTCTCTTGAAAATCTTTCTAATATTTTTATTATACACCTGCAGAGGCAATTGTTAAAGGCAAAACACCTTTCATCTAGAGTAAAATATTTTCTTGAAAATGCTAAACCATCTCTTGATACAGAGAGCAGCTGTTCAAAGTAATTTTGACATAAAATTGATGAACAAGAGTACAATTTCTGGCTGATCAAGATGCGTCATTGTTATTGCTTAAAAAATCTTTGTTGAATATTATATTATTATTTGTTTCTTTTCCAGGTTCTCCACCAGATGGCGCTGATATTGTCCTACTTGGAGCATTCTCCGCTCGGCAGTATTCGCCTTCAAAAACTCAATAGTGAAGACTTTGTTATTGTTGGTGACCAAGTGAAATTGGCTGACTTGGATGATATTTATATTGATGAATATCCTTGTCTGATTATAGCCGAATGTTACAGTTACATTGGTGGCAGAGGTAAGACTAATAAGCTTTATAATCAACACTTCTTAACACTATGAATATTAAATAAACTTCACTCAACAACATTGCCAACAAAAAAACGTTATTGTATACATAACAGCACTGTGTAACATTTGCCTAAGTTATTGGGTATTGTTGTTTTTAATGGTTTGATATCATATGGACTATTTCAGATAAAACATTCGTCCTGGTTATGATGATAAACTACATCTGGCAGCAAGGCCTCTGATCAGGAGATTGGAGGTTTTGGAGAGCATAGAACCACCTCTTAATTGCTATTGTTCCTAGGTTCCTTGGGGTGGTAGCACCGGTTAGGGTCCCAAATATGGGCAGATAACCCCCAAACAAAAATCAACAATACATTTTTATAGTAAAATTGACCAACAATACATTTTTATAGTAAAATGACCAACAATACATTTTTATACTAAAGTGACCAACAATATATTTTTATAGTAAAATGACCAATAATACATTTTTATAGTAAAATGAGTAACAATACATTTTTATAATAAAATGATTAACAATACATTTTTATAGTAAAATGACGATACAACACTAAAAAATGTTTAAAAATACATTTTTATTGTAAAATTACCAGAAATACATTTTTTTATAACAATAGATTTTTGTAGTGAAATTACCATCAGTAAATTTTATGATGTCCTATATATCTAAAAACATATCTTTTACTGTGAAGATTCTAAGAAATTTAAATTTTGGCATTAAATGACCTATAAGGAGTTGATATGCCTTTAAACAAATGAAACCAGATAAAATGTGATCTCAAGAAACTTAATAAAACATGTAAGCAAGAGACTTGTAGAATTTTTCATTTTGCTATTGTTCACCAAATACAATGCCTAAGTGCCACTCAAGGTAGAGCATTACTGAATGGGAATGTTGTAAAGGCATATAGGGAGTGAGCAACATTTGCATATTATGAGGATATGTAGGATAGATAACAGTTGACCCGCATCTTGAAGAGGCTAAGATTGTAATGATTATAAACGTGACCCCACAGGAGTGCATTCCACATTGCTACAATTCTGGTGAAGAATCTGTTTGAGTGGGACTTCCTCTTTACCAATGGAATATAAAGAGAATGAGGATGTGTTGGCTCAGTGACATGGGGAGAGGTCTTAGCTGTGAAAGTCTGGACTGGTAAAATCAAGGAATGTAATTCACTCAAAGATTTGCCATGAAAATAGCAGCAGAGTAGCATCCTATAATGATAGTGCTTGTCTCTCCATTCATTAGTTTGCACGACCTTTACACCCTGCCAATACCTCATAAATAATGGACTGTTCTGTTTTGATGGTGTGAAAAGAAAAGATATATCAGAGTTGATACTGGTTTCAATGAAAAAAAAAGAATGATAGAAGTGTTTAATGTGTCCTGCCAATACCTGATAAATAATGGACTCTTCCATTTTGATCATGTGAGAAGACAAAAGACATATCAGAGATGCTACTTGGTTTCAGTCAGAAGATGGAGGGAAGATAGAAGAGTTTAATGGCTGTCTCAGTGGAATAGAAAAAAGTTGTCAAATTCAAATCTTTTCATTTGTACCCCCTTACTTCTTAAAATAACGACCAGCTTTCATATTTATGATTGTTATTGTAATATTTTGTTAAAGTTGTTAAGCTCAAATATTTAACATTGTGTTAGGGGAATTTTCACAGTTAAAGACTAGTTATTATTAATATTCAGCAAAGAATATTGAAAAAAAAAAATTAAAATGCAACAACTCTTTTGTCCACATGCTTTATTAGTGAAAATGGTAAACAATTCTTCACCCAGGAAGCCACACAGACACTTTTGAATTTAGTCAAGGCTAGAAAGTGAGAATTGGTTTTCTCTGATGCAGAATTTAAGGAAATATTACTGATTGTTCTCTTTCACCTAAATAGGTTTGTTGAAGAGCCATAAAAGCAAGATTTGTAAAATGAAAGCTTGTTTGTTGCCACTTGTACCTTAAAGAGCAGTGACAGGTGTCTCTTGGTTGTTTGATCTGCCTAGTGTGATGATGATGATAATTGTTGATGTTTATAACAACATCACTAATCTTGATTGTGATGATGATTGTAAGCAATTCTGGTCCCACTAGTGAATGCTGGGAGCAAACAGACCAAGCGACAGTTTTGAATAAAATAATTGTTGATTTTACCACATCCTGTGTCACTTCAGGTTTCAGCAACCAGTTTTATATAATTTATTGTTCCATCCTAAGAGTTTCAATGATGTGTTGTTGCTAACAAGACTTTGAGGAGAAAATGAAATTTATGCTGAAATGGCTAGAGGCAATTTTGTTGAGATTTAAAAACTTTTTTAAATGTTTTTAAAACACTTGTCTGCTTCAAAACACAGAGTTGTGAGAATGAAAATTCCATTTTAACATTTCGTTATGTAGTCTATTATTATAAAATTGGTGGCTAATTTTAGATACATACAACGACTTGACCAAAATACTTACGGCCCTTTTGAAGGTCAAGGGCATGAATTTATTTTTCCCTTTTCCTCTTTTCATTTCTATGAAGCTAAATAAAAACATTTATAAGATTTTTTTTTCTTTTCTCTTTAATTTGACTTCTCTCTCTTTTCACTATTGTCTTACTTTTTTTTTTCATCAGTATCACTCCATGCAAGGCAGTAAAGCCACTAAGACACAAGGGGTTACAGGGTGTGAAAGAATTAGGAATAGAAACATTAATAATGAGCGGGAAGAGGAAAGAGTAATGAGGAGGACAGTAGATAGCAATTGACATTTAAATTTTTGAAGATCAAAGTTGACTGGAATGCAAGAAGCCAGAAGAGAGTTCCAAGAGCAAGAAGTGTGAGAAAAGAAACTGTTAGAATTCATAGACTTCATGGTTACATCTAGACAGCACAATTGTTTTGTAGTGACTGTTTCTTTTTGTTTACCAATTTCTAACATTACACTGCTTTTTGCCTGAATTTCTGGAATGGTGAGTTATCATCATACTTATTATAAAACCCAGGTTGTGTGTGTGTGTGTGTGTCTGTTCGTTTATATATTGGATTGGATTTCCTACATTTTTCAACCAATTTTAATAAAACTTCACAGGACTATGTAAAATTACCTTGCGGTTGTTCTGACAGCACCCAAAATTTGAAAAAACACAATTGTTTTTGCACAAAATCAATTTGCAAACACGATTAAGAGGCATTGCTTTTGTGGAATGAAAGGGGGACAACTCATATCGAGTTATACTTATTATAAAACCCAGGTTGTTTGTGTGTGTGTTCGTTTATATATGGGATTGGATTTCCTACATTTTTCAACCGATTTCAACAAAACTTCACTTTTTTTTGGCAGGTAGTGTTTCTTATTGTCTTGCACTCTTTTTTCTTTATTTTTACATTCAGAATGCTTGAAAAATTCCATTTAGAAGACAATTGTTTATAATAAAATTGAAAGATTCTATTCAATCGGTAGACTCATAACGATTGAAAACAATGTTTTTGTTTGAGTTCGGGTTTGACCAATTCGTAAAAAAACAAAACAAAAAAAACTAATTAAGACATGCGTGTCCGTCAACCTTAAACAATAATCTTTGTCAATTTTATTTTTCAGTTTTTATGATGGTTGATACTTGATCTATCTCTTACTGTTACATCCCTGGGCAACACCGGGCTCTACTGCTAGTTGTTTATATTATCTACATTTGGACTATTTTCTTCATCTTCATTGTTATTATCATAACATTTCGGTCATTGTGCCTTTCAACCCTCTTCAGGTGTCTGTCAATCCAGGTAACCTTCAGGGAATTTTGAACTGGACTCTTTATTTAATCTACAAGACAATAGTCATATGGGTTAAAGCGTTGGTTTGGGAATTTCTTGGCATCATAATTCTGAGTTTAATCACTGGACTCAACACAATTGTTGTTCCCAATCCCATAATGGGAATAATTGCAAAACACTTCCCCACCTTCCCTTCCCAATTTATAGGCAGACGTACACAAATGGATTCTGGGATTTCTTCCTAGCTAATACAATAGGCCACTTCTTGTTTTCATCTGACTCAATCCTGGTCTGTCTTGTATTGAAGTCAAAATGCTGTGTTCATTAATCTGAATTCACTCTTGTGTGCCAATCCCAATTCTTAGTTTGTGAACTTTTTGCAATATTACCGTTGTTTTGCCTTATTACTGTTAATTTGTCTTCTATATATTGTTTGCTTGTTTTATATTATTTTTTGGCACTGTTCTTTTCTTTTTCTTGTTATCGTTTATTGAAAACCTTGTCAAATTCATTTGTTGGGCAGTTCTGCCAGCTGTATTTAGCCATGGCCACTCATTCTACAGCAACAATTGAGCAGTACTAAGTAAGAACTAGATAAGATATATCTATACATGGAGCAATCTACCTTTGTAAGGTGGAGATAGATTTGCCTATTGTCCAGTCATACTCTTCCCTGGTCTTTTGAACAGGAGTAGTGGTTTCTCTCTTGTTTCCAGTTCCTTGTAAAGTCTGCTTCAGCTTTAAACTCCTAATGTTTGTTCTGTCTTATGTTAAGACAATGCCACACACTCTACCTTGAGTGGCTCTTGGGCCTTGTATTGGGTGAACATTAGTAAAAAAAAAACCTGATTAAATAAAGGGTTCAGTTTGAAATTCCTGGAAGATTACCCAGATTGACCAATGCCAGAAGAAGGCCTGAGAGAACAAAAGCCAAAAGATTTTGATAACAACAACAACAAAGATTAGTCTGAATGTACATTTTTATAAGGAATCTTTTTTCTTTCTTTTTTGATGGGCAAAAAGATGCTGCATTCTTTTTTTTTTTTACAGCAGATAGAAATTAATTTTCGTTTCTTTCTAGACCCCCAAATAATTCCAGTTTTGTTTTAAAAGCCAGAAAACGAGTTTGATTCTTTTTGCTTTTTAGTGAAAATGAAGATGAAGTATTTGTGTTCATTCCCAAGCTTTTTCACCCAAGTGACTTTCACCTTTGATCTTACTGTAAGCTCTCAAGATCAAAACATTTATCCTGGAAAAAAATATTCTTTATCTCTTGGAATCTTATGGTGTGAGGGTGGGGATTCTATTGTTCAGTTCTGGCCTACTTAATCTTCTTTGATTAATCAATGTCGATTTATTAACTAATCTAAACACTTGTTTACTATCTATGCTTTTATAGTGTAAAATAATAGTGTAAAGAAAAATAGAAGCAAGTGTTTAAGAAGGTGGGGGTGCTGAAGGTTCAAGACCCAAATAAGTTGTCATGTTGCGGAGGTGGGGTTGTCCCCTTTAATTATGTCTGCTTTTTATTATATTAATTAAAGTTTTCGCCTATGGCCATTTTATATTGAAACACTAGTTCTTGTCTGATCACCAAAGTTAAGCAACATCGAACCTAGTCAGTACCTAGATGGGTGACTGCTTGGGAATCCCAGGTGCTCTAAGCTTGGATGTGCAAGTGGCGTAATGGATAAAGTCTCGGAATATGTTGTCACATAGCCAAGTTTGAATTCCAGTCAAGTTCATTACATTCATTCATGCACAAATAGTCTTGGAAAAGGTAGGAATCCACCTTTTATGCACCTGTCTATGGGTTAAATATTAAGACTTGTATCTGAAAATTATTATTTTTTTTGAAAAATAATCCCAATAATTTCTTCCCACCAAAATTCTTTTTTTCCCCCAAAAAAGGTTAATACAATATTCACTTGTAAAAACAAAAAAGAATTATTCATACAACCTGAAAATGATTCAGCTTTAAATAACCTACCAAAGGTTGATAAGCTGTAAGGAACAAATCATTAATTAAATTTTGAATCTCTAAAAAGATCTGTAAATAAAAATTCTGATATTTGGTCAGATGTTGGAAATTGGCTGGGCTGATAACTTTTCAGCATCTCCATACATATAATTGAATAATATTAATTTAAAGATGATTATATTTGCTGTGTGAGTAAACGAGGATTTTATCTTGGGTTCTGGACTTGGTATTAAAATGTATCTTTTGAGACATTATTGAAAATAACTAAAGCAGTGATTCTAAGTGGGTTCGACTATTCGTTTAAGTAGAGGAGGATGGTAGTTTATATTTTTGGAAGTACTAAAATTCCGTTGATCAAACGTATCACATGTAGTGGACATTATAAAATGTCTAATTTGGGAATTTTCATATAAAGTGGGTGAAATTTCTCTTCTGTATAAATTTGGATCTTCTAACTAAACACATCATCATGTTATGATTTTTTAAATCCTTTCACTCCAAACAAGCTGATAAAATCACTATGGGGGGTGGTGCTGGCTACTGGGTGTGAAAGAATTTGAGAAAATTTTGAGAGGACATTAAAAAACCCAAGGAGGCAAAAGATAATGATTGAGAATCACATTTAAATTTTTGAAGTTTGTCAAGAAAGCAAGAAGCCAGAAGAGAGTTCCACAAGCAAGAAGTGCGAGAGAAGTAACTATCAGCATAGAACTTACATTTTGGTCTAGCAATTTCAACGGTGAAAATATTAGACCTCGCTACCAATCTAGTTCTGTGCTTAAATTCATAGAATCAAGGTAACAAAGAAGAAAGCTTATCAGAAGCGCAGATCTTACGGTGGTGGGAAAGTTATTGAATCTGAGATGCCAGATAAGGACTGATAACATTGCAGATTCTTTGGATTTTGTCAAAATCTCTATAGCAGAAGCAACATGCCAGATGTGGTAACAATATTGAATGCATGGATGAATGGTAGACTTATAAAAGTGCAAGATAAATTCAGGTGCAAAAAATTGTGTACAATAACACACTGAACTAACTTTCCTAGTAGTTGATTTAATATAATTGTTCAACTTTATGTTGGTGGGAATCATTAGACTGAGGAGGAGGAGGAGTCATTTATGACTCATTCACTTTGTGATACAAAAATCTTGCCTGATTATTTTGGTAAATTTCACAAGCTTTTATCTTTCTGACATTATAATCTTGTTTGTGTTTCTTGGCTGAATCCATTTGTTTTTTTGAAACACTTCATCAATTCTCAGGCTTCATCAGAATCTTCTCTGACCAAAGACTTGCTGATAATGAAAGTAACTGCTGACTTTAGTGAGATAAAATTCTTTTTGAAAGTTTTAAGATGATTATTTTTTTTCTGTGGCTTTCTATCATAACAAATTCCATAATGATTGGTTCTTCCTTCCTTCAGATTTCAAGAATATAAATTCCAATTTTTTTTTTTTTTTTTTTTGGAACTATTTTTTTTCTGTTGTTACCACAATGCTTTGACTGATCTCTTCCTCAGTCTTCAAGTATACACACTTCAATTAACAACACAAAAAGAAACTACAAATTTACAGCTTGAATATCTGAGAAAGTTTCAAAAAAGAATTAAGTAAAACATTGTCATAACAAAGTAACTTTTCCAAAAGAACTCTTAGAATGATCAGGATTCTTTCTCAAAAAATAAAGATGGTATTTTTATGATCATAAAATGCTAAAGAAATCCAGAAAAGATTAAGATACTTTCAAACAAATTCTTTGAACAGAAACCATGACAGATATCTGACAAATGCTGGAATGTAGAATGGTCAAAACAAAGGAATCAAAATGAGAACACTAGTCCAAATAAATCGGTGCATAATAATAATTTCTCCTTCCAAAATTTAGAGAGAAAAACATTTTCATGAAATTTATGTTGGATGCTGTGACAAAAGGAGATAACAAATTTATTGGCCATCATGTTCATTAATTATGAATTTACAAGCATTCTTACTGTAGTTGTTAAGCTTTTAGTAGTAGTTGATTAGTTTATATTGCTGTTAAGATGTTGTGTTGATGGCTTAGCCGTTCATAGTTCTCCACAACTTCCAATCATTTGCTGCTCTAAGTAATTTTTAACCTTTATCATTGTCTTTGCCTCTCATACATGAATATACTAATTGTATTGAAAGTGCACTGATTTCAGAATCCTCTATAGTGAATTTACATCCATACAACATATTTCATTTCCTCACAAAATTACTATTAATACAATGTGGTATAATTAAAAACAATAATGACAGAAAGCTGAATGAATGGACATCAGAATTCAGATGCTGAGAGTCTCTATATTGTTAACTTTTCTCTGGAGTGAGTAGCCATTGACAAATGCAAAATAAGTAACAAAACTGTCTGACAAACAGAATTGATAAAGGAACAGGGGAAAAAAAATAATCTAAAGCAAGCAAACAATATACACAAGGTAAATTAACAGTAATTAACTGTAATATAGCAAAAAGGTCACAAACTAAGAATTGGAGTTGACACACAAAAGCAAGTTTGGAAAAACAAATGTAGCATTTTGACTTTAAGACAAGACAGAATGGGACTGAGTTAGATGAAACCAACAAGCATCATATTGGCAAAGAAAAAATCTCATCATGCATTTGTGTGTTTCTGCCTATAAAATAGGGAGGGGAAAGTGTTTTGCAGCCATTGCAATTGATATGAACACCACTCCTCAATCTCATGTATGAGTTTCACTCATTTTACCTCCTCTACTTCCCCTCTCTTTTTTTTGGGGGGGGGAATAAATACAAACAAGATACATATAAACATTTAGATATAATTTGCATATATAAGAAAAATGTTTGTTTTTGTTTTTTTTAAATATATTTTTTAATTAAATATTTCATTTTTTTTATTATTATTAAATCATCATTTTTAAAAATGTTTTTCATTACTTTATATATATATATATATATATATAAACAATAGGAAGTATCAATAAGAACATCGGATTATATATCTTGCTGTTCTTTCTTGTCATTTATATATACATATATATATATAAAGTGAGTAAAAAAAACTGAGGAAACAAAAAGACAACAACAGTAATATGGCAAAAAGTTTACAAACTATGAACAAATGAAAATAGCATTCTGACTGGGACTGAGTCATACAAAACCAAGAACTGGCCTATTTTATTGGCTAGGAAGAAATCCCAGCATGCTTTTGTCTACTCCTACCTATAAATCGGGGAGGTTAAAGTTTCTTGCCGTTGTTCCTAGTGAGATTGAAACCAACAGTTTTTGATGTGTACTGCCATTTTTTTTCACATGTAAGACTGATTTCATCAATGAAAACGTTATGAGTCTGAAGAATTTTTTTTCCATTTTGTCATTCACTTACACACTATTTATCTGATATATATGTAAAGCCACTAAGAAACAAGAACTTACTGGGAAAGAATTAGAAAAAAGTGAAACATTATTAAGGAGCAAGGACAATAAAAGAGGAGGAACCAGGAAGACAGAAGGTGGCAGTTGACATTGCCTCTTAAGTGTTTGAATATCAAAGTTGACAGGGAAGCAAGAAACTGGAAGAATGTTCCACAATCAAAAAGTGCAAAAGTAAAAACAGAATACAATTCATGGTTCCATTTTGCCAATTCAACAATGAATTGATGAAACCTTAGCACCAATCTTGTACTGTGCTTAAATTCATAAAGTCTAGGTAACATAGCAAAGAGCTCATCCGAACAATTACCATGAATGTATGAAGCAACTTTACAGCAGTGGGAAAGTGACTGAAGCCAAGATGCCAGGTCAAGACTAATAATATTGCTGATATTTCTTTGGATTTTAACAAGAACCTCCTAAATATATAAGAGGAGCACCAGATCGTACGTGGTAGTAATATTCTAAACATGGAGGAATGGCAGACTTCTAGATATATAAGACAGATTCTAGAGAGAAAAAATGTCTAGCATGACAGAATGAACCAATTTTCTTAGCAGTAGATTCAATGTAGCCTTTCCACTACATGTTAGCCTGAGTAGGTTCAACAAGTCACTCTCCTGGAGGTTAGAATCAGCCATGTTGATGGAAGACAGAAATGGGTCTCTCTGATGATTAACAGAGAGAAGTTTTGTTTTGGAGGCATTGGAATTAATAAGCCATTCTTTACTTCACTTAACAGTAGATAGGAGGTGCTTTTTGAAATCAGATGCGAATTTGACCATATCGAATTCATCAGATTTACTATTGAGACAGGAGTAAGTGGTTGTGTCATCAGCAAAGATACAAAGTTATAAAAGTAAAGTAGGTTTCCTATTTGTTCTTTATATTATCATTGTTGGATTCCAATCCATATTTGATCCCTATATATATATATATATATATATATATATATACAGGGTGTCCATAAAGTTCGTGTGCACTTTAACAAATTTATAACTTTTTTTGTATTTGCGATAGAAATAATTTGTAAAAAGGATTAGAAAGAAGTAAATCTATATTTTTTAAGGTTTTATTGAAATTTTATTTAAGTTTCCACATGTCCTCCATCATTAGCAATACAAAGGGTAATGCGATTTTGCAGTTCATGGAAAACATTTGCCAACTGATTTACAGTAATGCCTGAAATCACATTAGTTATTTCAGCTTTCAAATCTTCTAATGAACTAGGTTTGGTTGCAT